CAAGGCTTCGAATAAACCATATTCCAAAAATGTAGTTACCTGCATCTTGTTTCTTGGCTTGCTATAAATGAGCTCATCTCCTAAGTGCTCAACAAAAAACAAGCCCACCTCTGGTCAATTGCGATTGTTAATTACTCTATTCCGTAAAGGAGGTAGCAGCATCAGACAATCTTTCGAATGTCGCTTTTCCCGCGCCAGCGTCTTGGATCAGAACCATTCACAAAGCCCCTCCGTCGGTCAGTATCGAAACTGGACGGACCACAGATCTGCAATGGTTTACGAGAATCTCCTCAACCGGTGCCAAAAATTATGATTCGACCTGATATCCTGCTAATATCATTAAATTATGAATTACCGTCATTCCGTGAAGCTTAATTGACGATGACACAATCGGGTCATCAGCAGAAGATAACCTCAACGTGGAGCAGAGTCCGTCTTGGCGCTTGCTCAAAATCACTCTTAGCCTCCCGCGGGATTTTCTGTTTGGTAGGTTGATCAATTAGCAGCTGTCTAGCCTATTCAAGGAAAAAGACCCCACCCCCATTGCAGTCATGATTTTTCAATTTGAGGAAGCAGCGGCTGCACTTCAGAATTTGTGTTTAGAAACGCTGTGTCCTCTTTGTGTTTGGCAGAAACAGTGAGTGTGTCATTTTATTTTGGACTATTTAACGAATTAGTCTGTTCAGTATACCAGAGTAAGTGTTTATATTCCATCCTTCGGGTTCTCGTCCTCCTGAACAGGCAACCGCCAGAGCATATATTGTACAACGGTGGAATGGTCCGTGAATGCCCCGTCATGAATCTATACCTGATTGGCTAACGAGGCACTGATGATCAGGGTTCGTAGAGCTCTTATTCAATTCACTGTACTACTGTACAAAAGGACTGCAAATTGGGGTCTTCAATAGAGCTGACTCCAATCTATTTTAATTTCCAAATAGGACATGGTGTAATTACTATTGAATGATAACTCGTTTTGAGGTTGATGAAAATTTTTTGGTGTAGTGTTCTCTGGATAATAATCGGGAGATGCAGAAAAAGTCCGGATAGTCAAGACCATGAGTCGATGGAATTCATGATCAGTTGGTGAGTTGATGAGTTACGGCACTGTTTCATGAACCTCTTAAGTAAATGTCACACGCCCGTTTCAAAGAACTGCACTCGAAGGACTGATTTCACCGATTCGTCGAACGAAACAAAATGTTGTCGAACCAAGCAACGATAAGCATGTTTGAACTTCCATTTTGATACTGATGAGTCATCAAAAACGCTGGTGATGCAGACAGTAAATTCCTAGTTTTTCTGTATGCATGTGAGCATTTATGTATCTATTCATGAACACGTGCTGCTACGCATGCATTATTTATGTATACGGTCTATTCTTATGAATTACACGCCAGATATACCAGCTAGTTTCCATATCCTGCGCAACTGTTTCTAGCACCTGGCAATGTATATATGTATATTCTGGGCATACCGACAGACCGCTAGTTTTCAATATCGTCGGTAAGAATCATAAATTCCTGTCACTTTTCCTGGTCTTAAAGCAAGGTAGTCGTACCATCGTATGCTTCACTTCTAGTCGCAGCAGGCCATTTAAGCGGGTCATTTCTGTATGGATTTACAGTACCTGCAATGCGTGGCGTCCAAAGCTAACACTTAGCGTGTAAACGCAAAATTTACGAATATAATTTCGTCTATGTATGTATGCTCGCGGTTACCGGGCTTTCAGTTTGTGTCCAAACATGATTTGTTCTTGTAATTCTTGTTGTTCCTCTTCATGCTTAATGGAAAGCACCATTGCTTAGTTTCAATGCCCACGCTTGTATGGCTAAATCGACTTATCGCCACAACCTTCCATGTCTCTCTTTCGACTTTTCGTCCCATCTGAGTCGAGGTCCAGCACTTGAGTGATTGCAGCCTCTGGATACCAATCCGTAACTGCTGAAGTCAAGCTGCTATTCATCAGTTGTGCTGTGTGACAGTCTATCACCCATTTATGTCTTTTGAAACTAATACAGCTCCTTCACTGATGCCTCCTCATTTCCTGTTATCATAGCTTGTCCATCATGGAAAATGCTTGCATCCCTCTTTTCACAACTCG